GAAAAAAATGTTATGTAATTTAATTGAACCATCAACAGGAACTAATATAGATTTAACAGCAACAACAGTAACCATCAACGGAACGTTTGTTGATTCATCTGATTCAAGATTGAAATATGATATAGACAATGTCAAATCTAATTGTATGAATATTATTAAGAAATTTAAACCGAAGAAGTTTAAGAGACACGATAGAAATGATAACGGTAAAACTCATATAGGATATATAGCAGATGAAGTATTAAAAGCAATTCCTAAAGAATTTGAAAATGTTGTTAGCAAAGACAGAGAGTATTTAGGATTAAATTATTTAGTTTTACCCGTGCTAGTTCATAAAGCAGTATTAGAATTAAATGATAAAGTAGATAAACTTGAAAAATAAATTAAGGAATTGAAAAAATAAGAATCTAAATAAATAATTAAATATAAATATATAAATAAATAAATAATTAATTAATATATATATATATATAGATATATGGACATTGACAGGAAAGTTAAAATAAAAGCATTATTTCAAAATAGTAGTATGAGAGAAAACATATGTTATTGTGGTTGCATAATTACTAAGTTAAATAAAGATGAATTTACATTAGATAAATGTAATAATAAAGAATGTAATTTTAGTCATTCTAAATTTGATGAATATATTAAAGAATTAAAAAAAGAAAGAAGACAAGAAAGATTTGACAGAAATATAGATAGATATGGTAAAATATTAACTCCTATTGCTTGGGGATTGTTATGGCCCATTTTAGTTCCTTTGAATATTTATTATTGTATTATAATCTAAATAATAAAAATCTAAATAATAATATATAATGGGTATTGGTCAAAGTAAAAACGATGAAAATAACAGTATGGAAGACATTAAGAATTTAAGAGTAGATGAAAAAACAAGAGCAGATACTTTAATCATTAAATCTATTCAAGAATGTGTAACGAGAATAGAAAAGTTAGAAAAAGAAAAACAAACAAAGTTTCGTTATGCTATTCCAAAAGTAGATTTATGCAACTGGTCATTATTCTAAATTAATAACATTAAAAAAATATTTAATGTTATTGATTAGTTATTTTCAAATATTGTGAAAAGTTTTTCATAAAGATACGGTCAGGGTTCTTTTCTAAAAGGTTAATATATAAAAAACTATGCGGTTCATCAGTTGCAGTCTCATATATTTTATAAATTAGTTTCTTGCTTTCTAGTAAATTATCACTTCTAACAATTGCTGATAATTCATCTTGTAATATTTCTATCTCTTTGTAGTTTCTAACTTTATAATAAAACAAATGACTTATATTTACTCTAATAATTGGTGGCACAGTTGATGATTTTTGAAGACTGACAAGTGTTGATATTCCACTATGGCGACCTCTACAAAATAAAGAATTTAACAATTTGTTATTTCTTGTTATTGCTGGATTATCAGATACATCATCCAAAATTACCAAAATATTAAATAATTTCTTCGTTCCTTGTTTTTTCTGGTATTCAATTATTTTATTTTGAGTTTCTATAACTCTTTCTAAATCTTCAACATTGAACTCATCCCACCAACACGGTTCTTTATCATTATCTACTTTCAAACCTTCCTTAATGTATTTTTTAACAGGCAACCAAATACTATCCAAATTTACTGATGGGGACCAGATAAAAATTCTTTCATATGCTCCTCTATAAATATCAAGTATCATTGATACAAGTAGCGTCGATTTGCCAGAGCCTGACGGGCCCACAATCATAGCTCTCATCGGCAATTTAGGGACGACCTCGTGCTTGCTTTGCTTAAAGTCATATTTGATTTCATCAATTGGTTTTACATCAGGCATAATAAAATAATATTAAAGATATTTAGAAAATTATTTATAATTAATATTAAATGGAACATCGTTTTTTCATGATATGATGACGGCAAATATCAATGAAAAAATGGAACAGGTTTTCCATTGCTTCAATCAATAAGCATTGAAGATAATTAGTTTTGTGTCTTGCTCGCGTGTGCAATGAAAACCCAAGTGCTGTGCCCCACCAATATTCTATTATGCATGAAAATAATAAGGTCAAATAATTGTTTTTAATAATTATTTCATCTTATTATTTAATATGGATAGAAGTTATTCAGATTATATTGATATAATAGATGAAGTAGAGAATATAGAACAAGTGATAATAACTGACAACAGATGTAAGAAAGTATGCTTTTATACATTAGAATTAATAAAATTAGGAATACAATATATCAAAAATAAAAATGTAAACATTAATATAAATGGGAAAAAAGAAAAACAAAAAGAATAAGACAGGTTTAAGTGTTTCTTCAACAGATGAAGACAAAGAAGAAGAAATTGTTAAAGAAACAGCACTAACCGAGTTTGAGTGTCCTATGTGTAAAAAGATGTTAGAAATGAAAAATGAAATAGAAATACAAAAGAAAGGAAATTGTAAATGTTCATGTATTCCAACAAGTTTCAAAATAAGTAAAAATGATAAGAAAATGAATATTGATAAAACTAAAGACAGTATCAACTTAGAAACTGATGTTCATAATATAACTTTTAAATTTGGTAGGCAAGCAACACCATCCGATAATAATGAAAACGAAACACAGGAAACTATTAAACAAATGATGAAAATTTAGTACTTAAAGAGTAGATTTTACATTAAATCAATCTTATAAATAAATATATATTTAAATAAATAATTATATAAATAAATATATATAGAAATGTCTGAAGTTGAGAATGATGCTATTGCTGAACTATCAAGGAAGATAATGACAGTTAGTAAAAATGTTAAACTGTTGTACGAGATGATAAAAACTATTGACGAGAAACTTGATGCAAAGGCAAACGAATCAAAAAATAGCAATTAAGAGAAGGAAAAGATTGATAAAATCTTTGAAAAGAAACAAATAGGAAGGCCGTCTGGCAGTTTTCAAGATAAGCAAAAGCAATATATGGATATGTTAAATAAGAACAAAATTAAATCTCCAAAACCAGAAACTATTGAATTCTATAAACTGCTTAAGAACGAAGAAGGAAAATACGAATTAATATAATAAATATCAAAATAATTCTAATAATATGAATTTATTAGAATTATTTTCAGGCAGTGGTTCTGGGGATAATTATGTAATACATAAACAGGAAGATTTATACAAAATACTTGCTGAATTGATTTGTGAGATTTTGACGAGTTTGGTGGATTAAAGAAACGAGTTTGGGATTGTGGTTGAAACTTCCCAAAATGTCGGTCAGGGTGCTTCCCAAATGGTGGGCAGGGTGCTTCCCAAATGGTGGGCAGGCAAGGGTGCTTCCCAAATGGTGGGCAGGGTGCTTCCCAAATGGTGGGCGGGCAAGCAGGGTGCTTCCCAAATGGTGGGCAGGCAAGCAGGGTGCTTCCCAAATGGTGGGCAGGCAAGCAGGGTGCTTCCCAAATGGTGGGCAGGCAAGCAGGGTGCCCCGAAAATGGAGGGCAGGTCATTTCCTCCTCCACTAATATTGCCTGACTTGTTTTTTACCCATAAACCTTACAATAAAAAACATTGTAAGATTTATGTTTTGAAATTATGGGATTTATATTTTGGGAATTTGGGAATTTAGTTTCAAGGAATATTGATTATAGGAATTTCTTAAAATGTATTTAAAGGTTTAATGACATTGTATTATAAGAACTATGGAAGGAAACATTTGTGTTTTAATTAAAGGTACAATGTATGAAGGAATTTTGGAAAACGGTTCATTCAAAACTGATAATGGAAAATTATGTAGAAACTGTGGTAGAATGAAACTATTTGACGAATTTAATAAAGATAATAAACAATGCAAGCAATGTTCAGAAAACAAAAGGAATAACCGAATTAAACATAAAGATAGATACAATGAGGAGCAAAGAAAAAGATATGAAGAAGATGATGAATATAGAAATAAAACACTTGAAAGTAATAGAAAATGGAACAGTATAGAATTCAGTGTGATATGTGTGACTGTTATTTTTCTCCATGTTTAAAAAAGCAACATCTTAAAACAAATAAGCATAAAAGAAATTTAGAAATGAAACAGGCAGAAGAAAATTAACATTATTTTTATTAATAAATATTTTACATAAAATTGTATAAGGTTAATATGTAGAATAACTTCTTAACCTTATATAATATTTCAATGAAGTAAAATTATTTTCAAGTAATTAGATAAGGTTAATGAATATGAATAATGTATTAACCTTATTTAATATTTAAATTATAAACCTATATTTTATATTTTGGTAAGTTGTTCTGAAAATTATTTTACTTCTTTCAACATCTGTTCTTGTATTTTTTCCCCCCCGCCACTGTCCAGATGGGAATCAGCATAACTTGTCTGTGCGCCTAAAATAGTGCAGCTGTGGTGGACGGCATCTCAGGGAAACCAAATGGGAGCCACTAGTTTGAAGGGTCTGTGGTTTTGATGCCCGTCCATACTGTGATCGTTGCACGATCGCCTACCAAAAAACATGAAACCGGATGAATGTGGAAATGGAAGTGGGTGAAAGTCGCTTGGGACGTTATCAAGCAAGATGAAGTCGATCGCATGGGCAAATCTACACGGACTCACCAGCGAATCCGAATCGAATGAGACCTTGTGGCTTTTGGATTGGCCACAGGGTTGCCCCGTTCGAACCCTGAAGCGGGGTTCCCAATTGGCAAAAGCTAAGCCCGTTAAAAAACAAATCGGAGCCAGGGGGGCATTCCAGGTTGGGGTTGTCCAAATCCAGGTGATTGGCCACTGGAAATCAAGACTGGCCACAGTTAAGTTTGATGATCAGTACCTCCACATAAATAAGTTGCCCGCCACACCCATCAACTTGGAGCTTAGGATTTGTTGTTTGGTTGTAAACACAAGGAGGGGCCGCCAGGCGTAAGCAAGAGTAGTGAAGAGCATTGGTTGTTAACGCGTAAGAGAGTGAGAGAATGCTGCTGGGCTGGCACTCCTGATCCTTCCTCTGTGGGCGTCCGTCATCGATGGAGAGTTTGACGGTCCCAAGAATCAATATCCCCGCGCGTTAGGAGCATAGGTGTCCTTTTTGGTTGTTTTGCTAGAAACATAGATGGCCCTGGTTTTCCTGGCGGTTTAATCATCTACCAGGGCCATCTATTTCCCCTGAAAGGACACGTATGGTTAAGAGCCTTCAGTGCAAAGTCAATCGCCAAATGGCAGCCACTTGGCAGTCCAACCCCAACACGGCTGCCATATCCTTACATGCGCGGCTGAGGCGATCTTCGGCCACACCTCGCAATAGCCGGTAATCGACTCGCTCGCCCAATGAAAACAAACAGTGACTCACAACCCCATGTGCTTCGTCTCTCGCTACTCTCTTGCAGGCTTTTATGGGGCCGAAAAAGGTTTGAAACAAATCGCTTTGCTGCGCCTTGTTGCTGCAATTCTAGTGCAGCGTCTAACCCTATAGGCTTGAGCTTTTGAATCCACGCGTGGGAGGTGCGGAACACATTGCGAACCGGCTGCAGCTTAGCGCGTCGCGTGCACCAACCCGCCCCAAGTGCCAGGACTACGAGGGCGACCTCTTTGTGCCCAAGATAGGCGCGGCCACACGCAGACCAATGCAACCCGAAACACGGGCTTATCTACAACAAGACCTTTGGAACCCAGCTTTCTCAAAGTTTCATGGCATGAAGCGCAATGGAGAAAAGGGTCTGCAACGGAGGTTCCCACAGTCAAACGCTTGTCTGGCACACAGGAAATGAGCCGCGCCCTTCAAACGATATTCTTTCGAATGTCCGCCTGCATTTTTGAATTCGGAAGCAGTTTGTTTCATTTCGATGCAGTTCACTGGGACGTAAAGCGGTTAGGTAACACCAAGACTTGCCAACCCTGAATTAATCGCCCATGTACGAGCACGAAACCAACCCTGAACTAGTAGGGGGGTGGGGTTCCTTGCAAAGAGCTTGAGTATCCCAACTAGTCAAGTCCCTTTTCAGATCTTTTGGGGATTCTGCAAAAGAGTCCCAGAACCCAAGCGGTCCTGCCCGACGTTTTTGGTTTTGCCCCCTTTGGTGGCCAAACACATGTCTGTGGCTCAAAAGCAGGTACCCAAACGACCCCCTTTAAGTGGAACAAAGACTAAGATCCGTGTAACTTGTAACCCTAGCTCTTCAATTTTTGAGCCACACCCACATTGTTGCACCCCTTCCTTCCTCAGGGGGCCAAAGCAAGGCACGCTGAAGGTTTCCCACACCTGCACCTTAGTGCTCCAAGTGTCTACCCGGAAACCAAAAAGCAAACCTGGCTGTTGGGCGCTGGCTCATTCTCACAAACTTGACTACACGCGTAGACGAGGGAAAGGTTTGGAGATATTGACGCCACCAATAGGCCGTATGCGCATATTCATATACACACATTGTACGTACACATACCAGCAGGTTAGATGTATCACTAGGCCGGGTAGAACAAGAGAGACGAGCCCCAGCATCCTGTCTCCGGTTCCCCCCGTTTGGCTCGGGGGATCCCGAATCACCGGGGGTTGCGCATGGCCGCATGGGATGCCCCAAGAAATACTGCAAAATCACACCACTCACAAAGCCCTGATAAATTGTGGTGCCCTGTACAATTTTCCTTCGCAAGTTCACGCGCAACCGTTCGGGCATTCATTCCTCAAACACCAGCACCCAGTATTTCATGGGCACCCTCCAGGGCCCAAACCGCTTCTCTCAGCTGCCATGACCCGGTCAGCATGGTCAGTGGTCTCTGCTCTGTTTGGGAGGAAAAGGGACCTCACAACTTATCACCCGTCAAAAGCCATCAATGGGTAAAAAGGACCCGCTACGAACAGCTGGAGCGAGATGTATGGTGTCTCCTTGTACTCTTTCAGTGCTGTGGTTCCCGTTTGCTTTCCGACTCTATGTTTCCGTTTGCGAGTGGAGCAAAAGCCCAGACACCCACAAGTGGTGCCCTTAAAACCCTTCTGCCGGATTTCCCTTCAGATTCCTTTTTTCCTTTGAGTTCTGAGGGTTTTTAACAAATTCAACGAGCAACCGGGCGCCTTGCAAAAAGGAACTCCGAGCTTCGAGTGAAGCCGAGGGCTCGTGGAGGTGCACGCCTTCCAGGGCGCCGGCAGACCCAGAGAAGTCTCCAGTCTCGGGTTCCAGTTTTTCCCCTTTGGCTTGAACTTGGGAAAGTTGTTTTGGCTTAAGTAAATGAGTTTCCTTCTTCTGAGCTTGCCACCTCAGGTCATGTTTGTTTTGCGGGGTTCTCCTGGAACATGTCAATGTGAGTTTGGGGGTGTGATGCGTAAATGGGGCTTGGAATGGCTCCCCAGACGTGTTCCTTGCGAAACCGCGCTTTACGTAAAAAGCCTTTCCTTCCGATACTAGCTGGAGGTTGGGCAGAATGACGTAGTCTTTGGAGGATAGTCTTTTCCAGGGGTAGAAATAAAATGTCCCGCATAGGAGGTGTTTACTACATGCTTTCTGTTCCTTACCAGCGTTGGTCTTGCACTGCCTTATTGTTCTAAGAGCAGGTGCCCTCTAAAAGTCAAGTAGGCACGCGGACCAGCCTTGTTTTGCTAATTTGCGTCGGGCAAAAAGGCGGCAAAGGTTTCCTGAGAATTGTCCTCGTTGGTTTGGTTTGAGCATCAATGCCCGAAGAGGGTTCCTATTCAGGGTTTCTCCCTCATCTGAACTTTATGGAGCTTAGACACCCATTGTGAGTTCTCCCAAGAAAGCAGCCAAAAGAGAGCAACCTGGTTGGCTCTGGAGTTTCGGGAATCCGGGAATCCGGGAATCCGGGCATGAACCTTCTAACCTTTTTGGGCACAGAAGATGACGGTGTGGCTTTGCTTGAGGTCCTGCAGCCGCTGCAAGCGGAGTTGGACAAGGACTTGCGCCGGATCTTGGAGCTCGAAGAGGCGAACACCGAAACGTCGCGGGAAACGTGGGCCCCCCTTCAAAAAAAGAACTGGTTTGGAAACAATGGTGTGTTTAAGCGGTGTTTTTGTTTGGTTGATTCTTGGGTGTTTTGTTTTGGTACGTCCGTCATTCTACGTGTTGCTCGTGTTTCTGCTCGAACATTTGGGGGCAGTTCTTCGCGTGTTTGCTTGTTTGTGTTTGAATGTTTGATTTGTGGGAGGCTGCCAAGAAAGATGTTTTTGTCAAAAGCTCCTGAACAAACTGAGGTGGATTCATAGTGGGTTGCAACTCTTCCAAAATTAATCCGGATCTCCGAGCTGGCGGTCATTCATCCAGCAAGGTCATTCTTGGCTGTGCCTGTCCTTTTAAGACTGCCACAGCCTAAAAGCGCAGTGATGTATTTCTGTTGTGCGAGAAGGAGAACCCAACCCCTCGGCCTTTAATGCCCCTTTCACTTGGGAGGTCCCCTCAGTGGCGCGTGACAAGAAATGCTGGGCCTCCCGCCGTCTTGACACGAGCCGATAAAGATCCTCTATAGGTGGAGAGCTTGTGTTTGCCCCCCAGGCCCCACAAATGGCCTCTGAAATCGCAAGGTCATTGAAAACAAGCGCTTGGAGAATCTGAAAAAGTGTCCTTTCCTCAACGTCCATCTGGTGTCCTGTGTTGTTTTGGAGGGAGTTCCCATAGAAGATCAACTACAAAGCATGCCGATACATCTTCCCACAAAAATGTGGGAAATCATCTCAGGCTCGGCGGGCAAGAAGTCTTATACCGGGTACTCGAAGGCTGAAAGTGCATCTCAGGGATTTTGCAATCCGAAAAAGAACAACATAATAGACAAAACACACAGAACGGCACGTCTAGGTGGCCACCGCACGGTCCCTGGGACAATTAGATTTTGGCTGTGGGGCACGTTCAAAGCAAAGTACCTCATGGTCATGGAAGAATAATGTTTGCAATGAGTTAGCCTCTTTGTATTCTCCCAATAATATGTTTGATTGACACCCCATACAAGCCCCAGGAGAAGTACCGGGAACCTCTACCCTTTAAAAGGCATTCGGAGCCGAACATCTTGGCCAAAGCCGAACCCTTATTTCCCACTCCAACAGGCTCAGACTGCGTCAAGGTTTGCCTTTTGCGGGTTGCGGCTGATTTCGGATGGCGCATCCTGTGTTCGTGCTTAGGAAGAAAAGAAGGAGCCGTGAAGCGCACAAGATCGTGGTCGTGTCTTTTTGGATTGTACCCCTTTCTTGGGATGGTTCAACGGGAAAACAAAGAACAGCCTTGAATCGTTGCCCATAGCCGACCTTTGGAGCTTTTGGTTTTCCAGTTTTGTTCCACAGGCAACATGGAGTGAGTTCCATGTCTAGACAAACCCTACGCTTAGCTGACTAGCTGACATGCTGGCTTGCCAAGAGAGCAGCGGTATCACAGCGGCGCAAGGAGTTCGGAGGCGAGCCAATGCTTTCTGTAAGTGCCACAAATTGAATGAGGTTGTAGGACTTTAACGGCCACATTGAGTTATGTAGCGAGTATTTAGCCCCTCATAGTACCCTCCCGCCGACGAACATGGACCCCCAGAAGAAGGCCCCTTTGAAAAGGGATTTGTTGTCTTGCAGGTAGGCCGATGTCACACTGAAGGTGTCCGCCATACGTGAGATGCCCACAAGCGAAATTCCAGGTTCGCATGTCGGAATGGTGTTGCGTGAGACTTGCAGTATTGAGACTTGCAGTAGCTTAGGCTGCTTGCTGGCTGGCTGGCTTGCTGGCTGGCTGGCTTGCTTGCTCGCTCGCTCACTTCTTGTTTTCCTGACTTCTTGCTTGTTTTTGCTTTCTTGCTGGCTTGGCAGGTCGACATCGAGCAAGTGATCATGTCAGTTGTGGATCCTGCTGGTGAGGACAGGCATTGGCTGCCCTGATTGGCAGAGAGCGTCGCGGGGCCGTAACCCACCCAACACTTGAAGACTTGCCAGAGAAGCGCCCAACCCTCCTCAAGTTGGCTCTTCCAAGGCTTAATGTATACATCCATTTTACGAAGCCCTGGTATGAATCCGCGTGAGCCTTGGTGTGAACCCCTGGTATGAGCCCTAATTTCTTCGTTGAGAGTTGGGAAACTAGCTCCACAATGGCCATCGGTACAAACAACAAACAACAGCAGCGTATACAATCACCCTTACGGGACCCTTTTACAATCACCCTACCTTTGATACTCCCCGCATTTCTTTGATGGGAGCATGTTGCATGTTCACCCAGATCCAGTTGCCCTCCTTGCGGGTCTCTCCGCTCGCTGAGGACTACCCCTTGGTGTGGATCTCCAAAGGCTTTGAGGAGTACACCGGCTACCAACATGAGTGGGCACCTGCCCGAGGCCTTTTTGTTTTTTGCCGCTGTTCTTCGGTCGCACTCGCGTGATGGAGAATCTCAGGGGAGGGAGCTGGCCGCTTTCTGTCTGGGATTCCCCTTGAAAGTGTTTCAACATAGGGATGGTCTTGGGGAATGAAAACAGAAAGGTAGATGTTCTAGAATGCTTGCTCGTGTTGGAGGACTTGCGCACATATCCCCGATGCCCAAAATCGAGATGCAGGCTTCCATTTGCTGAACTGGTAGATTCCCTCCAGTGGAAGCCACCCAAAAGTCTCTTAGGAACATGGTCTTGCTGCCTCCTTTTCATGGCTGAGGGTAAATGTATGTCTTTCATGTTTTGCACACCGACGCAGATCGAGATAGCAAGTTCTTTGTTGGACCTTGAACCTTCTGACCTTTGGAAAAGATATGGGTATGGGTCAAAATCAAAGCCACCAGGAATTGGACGCAGGTTTCAGTCTTAGTTCCATTTAGGGTTCCATGGATGACCCACAGCCATATGTGTCCCACTGGTTTAAACTCGGGTTGCCCCGAGCCACAGGAGCACGACCAAACATTCGGGGGTCAGCTCTCACCCCGCGGGTTCCGGCTGGCCCCTTCCAGCCTGTCCCAATCTGCTTCGAGGAGCTGATCCAGTTGTTGTTTTTTGTTATTATCATATAATCCCATGTGTTTGTTTGCTTTAATAAATAAATACATATGTATAATATATATATATATAATTAAAACCCCATCCCAATGTTTTTTTTGCACACCAGGCCTCATGGGTGCTGATAAAAACCCGGAGGCTCGGCACAGCGTGCCTGCCATGACTCCGAAACGCTCCGAGGCTTTGGGCCGCAACTGCCGGTTCCTTCAGCCCAAGGGCGCGGAGCCGAGACTTGGGACTCGGTGTGTCCCTGGATCGGTTTGGATTTTGGGGGGTTGAACCGGTGAGAAGGAGTTTTGCCTGTGGCCTACGAAGGGATTTGATAAATTTTGGTCTACAAACGCATATACAACAAAAAGCCTAATAAAGCCTTCAAACACGCGCGAAAGCATGCCACAGCCTCCAAATGCTATATAAACGCCTACAAACACGTACAAGCGTTTGCGGATGCAAGTAAACAATCGGCAAAAGCCTACAAAAGTCTGCACAACCGCTCACGAAAGCCTACGAACAGTCTGTTCGTAGGCCACAGGAATAATCCTTCTCATCTACAAGAACCATGGGTTCAATTGTTTGCCTGTGTTGGCTACTACCGTCAGACTTTCAGAGATCCATATATGACAGTCAGCAAACATCCTTGAAAGTTGCCGAAATGGTCATGGTTCTGGATGCTTAAAACGCACGACGTGGAATGAAGGAAGTTCTGTGGAAGAACTTTGCTTTCACACCCAGCGGCTAGCCGGAGACTTTCGCACAAAGTCAACCAGCAATCAGTCAACCTGGTGCATGGGGGTGTTTCTTGTTCCTCCAGTGACCCGGCTTCCTCTGTCAAAATGGTTGAGATAGGGAACTTCGGATTCAATATCTTTTTATAAACAATCATATTCAGATCCACAGGGCATTGCCTAGTGCCTAGTGCCTAGTGACCTTGGAGCCATATCGGAGAGCCATTCCCATTGCTCTCCGAAGTGAACTTCTCGATCCTGTTGGGATCAGATCTCGCGTCTTGAGACCAATGTGTCAGATCTGCCCTGTCCACAACACGGAACCCACCACAAGGTTAATTTTGAAGGAACATGCATGGTCTTCCAGGACCCTTCAGTCAGGTTCTATCTTAGTGTACAGGAGGCCAGCTCACCTCCGAATCTCCGAAATCCGGATAGCTCTCTCGAGATCACGAGCGGAACCAGCAGTTCAACGGGGATCAGCTCGCCAAGCTTCGACGCTTCAGCCGCGAAGGGAGGTGGCATCGGCGAGTTGCCGTGGGGACGTCTTGCCCTTAGCATCCACGAAGAATCAGTTGGGCTGCACTTGTCAGGAGACTTCTGGGCCCGAAACGGGAAGCAGCCGGGTTCCGATCGCTTGCAACGGAACAACCATGTGTATAGAATTTGAATGGGAACTCATGTGGTAGGGGTCGCCCAAACTTGAAAGGAGTCCGGGGAGGGGGGCAAGAAGGGCCCCCCAAAATTTGCTTTCTTGATGTTCCTTTAAGCCAATGGTTCGGTTGGCTCTTGCTGATTGAATTGTCTTCACATGTGACAGTCCAGGTTCCCAGGATGGTGTATGACTGGCTTGCTGCCAAAAGTGACATCTCTTTGCGAGTTCAAGCAAAGGTTTGGCAGGTTTTGCTGGCCTGTTGCGTTCTGAAAAGTGCTCTATTCTCTTCACGTGCCGATTGATCGTCAAGCCGTATTGGGCGGGCCACTGATTTGACCCTTGCCGATACGAATAAGCCAAGGGAGCCCAAAGCTATGTGATTCATGGCGTGGTGGTCTTTGCTTCAGCCAGGTGCCAAAGCGGTTTCCAGGCGAATGCTGGTCAAACTCGCGGTTGGTCCAAGAGCCTACGACGCAACTGGGCATTGGCTGTCAAATGACCTTAAATAGTTTTTAAGGAGGTGACTCAAGCCATTCGACAGGGCTCTCTGTTTCTTGACAGATGGAAGTCTCGCCCAAAAGCAAAATAACGCCATGGGTGCACACATGTCAAAAAGTCAAGTTTCTTTTGGTGTCATGTTTCGGATGGTGACTTTGGTAAGCCATTGAACCCGGTTTGGTCTGGGCCAGGGTGTTCTGTGCGTTTAGGCGGTTCCCGTGTTCAGAGTTCATGGGAGTCAGTCCCTGAGGCTCATGGAAAACCACTGCTCTTCAGAACCTTTGGCATGCCATGGAGGCTTCAGCGCAATTGATGGCCCACTTGGCCCCGCATACACACACCAACAAGAACACACAAGTTGTACAGAGGCAGCTTCCCTAGGTCCCCTTTTACCCTTTTGGGGGGGGGTTCCCCTACTAAAATAGACTACAGAAGAAGAAGAAGAAGAAAAAAACAACGGGTACCAACTTATTCTAACCTCTCTACTGGAGGACCTAGTTCCTTTGGAGGGCTCTCTTGTGGTGCACACCCTTTGGCCAGGAAGTCCATGCGTCCCACCATCACCACCACCCTGGCTTTGCTGCTGAATGAGCGAAGGCGCGAAGCGGGGGTTGGTGAGGAAAAAACCTTGGGCTTTGCTAGTTGGGTCTGTGTTGGGGGGAATCCATGATGGTGTTCGTTTTGGTTTCCCTTTAAACCCTCCAACAACGCAGCCTCCAAATTGACACCCAATTATTTGACGCTTTCGCGCTTTGAACTGTTTGGGAAGTTGTGTGCGTGCGATTGTTCTCCCACCGAGCAGCGAAAGGTTAAGATTTACGGCAATGGGCAACAGCACGCTGTGAAAACGATAGGTACGCTGAAAGATCGCATCCACGGACAACAGAATGCATATATGAGATGTCATATGCATCTTAGTCTAATACATATATGATATACATAAATGGGTATGGCAATTCATAGCTTAATTACATAGCCTTATTGCGCTAGGTTTGGTCGAAGAAGCTGGATGTTTGCCATGGGAACCGCCAAAGATTTGTTTTGGAGGAGACTGAGGGAAGGTTCACCATGGCCCTCGACAGGCCTGCAATGCTCTTTTTTTGGCCCAGCCCGGGCAGAACTTCCATCCCTCCCTACACAAGCTCCCTTTGTAAGCACAGATCTTGGGTTTTAGACCCTCAAGCACAGATCCACAAACTTGGCGCTGTGAGAGCTGCATTGATTTCAGTGAAGAATCGTCTTCCTTTTGGGGGAAGCCGTCAAAAAGGGTAGTGTTCCTTTGGTCGTTGGCTTCCCTTTGCGTCTCAAATCGGCAACCGGATCACCTAGGCTTCAGGCGAATGACCTGGTCCCTACATCTTCACATGTTAGAGTCACTGTTTCTTTCATTCCGCATGGCAAGTTGTGTTCTTTGGTTCTGTTCGCGCGTGGTCAATGCTTGTTTCGTCACTGCTGGCATGTTATGGGATTTGTCGACACTGATGTCATGTGCCCGAACAACATGTCGCTGGGTGATGTTTGATCTAAATGTAAGGGGAGCAGGGTTGTTATTGAGGTGGCGAAGCATTGCCCCAAGGGCAAGCCGAACATTCATCTTTGCCGGGTCACCGCCCAAAAAGCGGGCGCCCGTCTTTTTGTTCCTATCCTGAAGGGGGGGGCAACCCCATCACAGGCCCCAAACCTCTTTTCGGGTCCTGAAGGGCTGCAAAGAACCGGGTGTCCGGGCTATTTCCCACTTGGAAGCTCCAAAAGTGGCGATCGGTTCAATCGGAACTTCCAGTCACTTGATCAACATTTGATTCGGGGAACTCCAGTGACCCCTGCAAAAGTCCCAGCCTGCGAGTCACTCAGTCGGTAGGAATGGCTCGCCCTTCTGGAACCTGAGCTGCTACTTGCACGTGGAGGCAAGCCATGGTTCGGACGTCAGCAGGCTGAAAGCCGCCTCAAAAGGAGCTTGGGCTTGGCCGCTTGTCCAAGCAGCGTTGGAACATGTGGTATGCGACTGCTTTGCCTGGTCTATAAAGGGGTTGCATTCTTTGCCACTAGTCTTTGACATCATTGTTTAGACCGTGTACCGCCAAGTAAATGAAGATTGCCAACTTAGGCTTGGCAGGTCAGTGCGGCTTTCCTCGTAAAGCAGGAATTCTGAGCTGCTTTGACATGAGAGGCTATGACGCCCAAAGTCCCGCAGGTGCTGGGCAAGAACTACATCGTCTCGGTGATGCTGCCCTTTACTCAGGAGGGGGCCGCAGGCCGCTGTGGGGGTACTTCGGTCTTCCCACTCTCACAAACCAAGCTTCCCATGGGCAAGGGGTAGATGACCAGTCGTGGAGTAAGCTAGGCTACAAGATCAACACACGCGGCGTCTGAGAGATCCAAGACAAGCATGACATCAGCCGATTCAACTTGGTTGTTGTGCGTGTATAGTGTACGCAGTTATACCTGGCCCTTTCCACCATCCTTTGCTAGTGTCGTGCTGTGTTGCATTCAGTTTGTGGGCAGTCTCAAGATGTGTTGATTCTGTGTTCCGCTCTTGGCTAATTGATGCGAGAACAAACTTGACAAAGAAGAACGCTCATACACATATCCATGGATTGGTCACGCTTTTGAGTTCAGTTTCAAGCATGTTTGTGGCAGGCTTCAGAACGTTATTGCCCCGAACGACCCTTTGAAAGCCAGCTGGCTACCCATACTACTGGCAACTGTGATCCACCGGGTATCGTTGTGTTGATCTATCTTTCCTCGCGATTCTGTTCCACTTGTTTCCGTGTTTTTTGTCCACCTTCATTTTCTATCAAGCAAGCACGCACCCCTCAAACCCCCTGTATACCCTAAACACAAAACCACCTACCCTACACCTACCCCAAAAGCCCCGCATCCTAAGCGCACCTCAAGCCTACCCAACCATACCTGAAGCCTAGCCACCCTACACCATAAACCTTAATCCAATCCTGAATCATCCTGCACCCACGTTACACCTACCCTGGCACCCACCCCTAAACCTACCCTCACCAACACTAAACCCCCGTAAGGGCTTAACTCTTAACCCTCAACCACCCGAACCCCTAAACCAACCCTTTTAACACACCCACCCGACACCTACTTTTAACCTACTCTAAACCTAGCTCCGCCCTACCAGCAGCAAGACAAAACACGAGAGAGTGGAACGAAATGACGGGAAAAAAGCGAAAACATTATCATTGCGAGTAGACTCCTTCGAGCCGGGTTTCGGTTCTGACTTATTTGAGCAAAGATTGCGATCTCATCTAGACATTTGCCACTCACCCAAGGCTCGTCCCTGCATGACTCGTGTGATTCGTGTAGCTTGCGCAGACGCATGAGAAACCATGGGGTTGCATCCCTATGTTGCCGGGGTTGTTTCCTAAGGGTGTATAGCTTGGGAAAAGTACGACAGATCCGAGGTGAAGCTTGCGAGCCGACTGGGTAGCCCACTTTGAGTCCAAAGGACGGGAAATCATCCCACTTTGGCATATCCAGAAGGTACAAGAAGCCGCCGCTTGCTCCAAAACTGGCGATCGGATCAAGGGAAACCACCAGTAACTTGATCAATCTCTGATTCGGGGAATTCCAGTGACCCCTAGTTTCCTTCGTTTTTAGTGCCCCTGTTGTTTTTGTTTGCTTTCTTGAGCCACGGACCAACTCCAAACCCTTGCGGATGTTTCGTAACCATCGGAAGGAGCCGGTTCGCCTGGCAGAGATGCTCAGCATGGACCCCGAGGCACGGAGTGGAGAGAAAGGTTTCTCCAACGTGCCCTCGTTCTGGGGTCATTATTTCGACGGCATAAGTGGCCTTTTTGGTTGGTTTGCTTAAAAAATCGAGGGCGGTTCCTGGTTTAGATGGGGTTTATTCCATTTACCAGGGCCATCTATTTTTCCAAAAGGCCACCTATGTTGGTTCGGTTTCTGGTTATCAAAGTCACTCTCACTCAAGTTTGCACGCCTCTGTGGGCAAAAAGCTGATTTATGGGGTGATCAGGCCCAAAAACGGCAGTTATCAAAGTCAATGGGGGTTGTTTCCCTTTCACCCACCACGTAGGGGGTGACTTTGATCATCGTAAAATAAGGAGGCCAGTCGTTGAAAGGTTTTTCCGGGGAACTGAAACAGGAAACCAACCTAAAGGGTCGCTCATTTTCGAGAGAGGCCCAAATCAATTAGAGTGAAAGAGGGCTGATGTCAAAGTCACCTTGGCTAATTTGCAAGGGAATCCTTTTGGTGGGGTGATATTTGGAGGGGACATGATGGGAACCCTGGAAAAGGGCACGTGACATGGTCGGCAGGTCAGTCAGGTAGGTGAAAACAATATGGGAAGTTGTTTACTTGACTCCACCATGTTGTGCGTGACCCCTTTAAGGGTTGTTTTGCCAAAGAGAAACCATCCATTTGAGGATTCCCCCATTTGGAGACTTGGAGACTACTATTTGGGCTGCAGCCAGTTGGGTTTGTCTGAAAACGGGAGAAGCCCCAAAGTGGGTGGGGTTCCTTTGGTTTTCTTTTACAACCATCCAAAACCGGGCTGCCCTTTACAAGGAAAGCACACTACTTGCGGGCATGTGAGGTTGGGCCCCCAGGACCGCGCCCAGTCCCTACCCAACCTTTTGGGTTTTGTGGCCAGACCATCCCATGTCATTCTACTACTTTCAACCTACTTGCGGTCACTCCAGCATGTTGACCTCAGGCTGGATGGGGTTTCATATTGCGGGCATTTAGCCACCCCGACATGGGCCCTACTGGGCCCTTACCCCTTGCCAAATGGGCCCATACAAAGTTACAAAGGTTGGCGCCCAGTTCGGGAACTTGGGGTTGGGCCACGACAGAGGAAATGAAAAAGTCCGACCGCTTTGGGCTACTCCCCACAGATTATTATATGGAACTCAAGCAACCATAAGGCTTCAGGGATGTCGTGTTGGGGTCCCCCCCTTTTTGGGCTCCATGCTAAGAACGATGGGAGAGTACTTGGAGGACGAAGCACATATGCACTGTCCAAACGTTTGGGAGCTTCGAGTTGGATGCTTCGGATTCCATTGGGCTTGTCGAAAGCGATGATTGCTAAGAATAATAGGTAAAAGCAATGGGAAGTCAGCAACGAACTTGGTTGAGCGGACTCGAACAAATTGAGCCACTACATAGATTCTACGAATCGCAAAACCCTACTGCCGACTCGAGGCGTATAATCTTTATACACTGGATATGTAGGATTGCTACCCCCCCCCCCCCATTTTCCTTTAAGAAGCTCTGCTCTTGTCCGACGCCAGGCCTTGGAGCAGCAGGCGCGGCTGAAGGCGCTGCTGGCGCGCCACGAGGGGGGCGCCAAGTTCACTTCTCTCCAGGCGTGGAGTGTGAAGAAATCCATCGATCGGGAGTGCAAAGGGTTCCTCAGCACCCGTGTTTCCCTTTGGGCTTACTGACAGAAAGGTACTGTCTGGTCCCTGGCTGCTGGTGAGGGCGTCAAAGTGTTTCATTTCACATGAAGCAATTGGGAAGCAATTGGGGTAGCATGATCTACGCAGAGGGTAAGAAAGCAAGACGGGCATTCCTTTGAAGTTTCGGTTTAGTTGGCAGGGTGGGCTGGGATAACCTGGCTGCCATGTTTTTGTTCGCCAGCCACGCAAACAGGTTTCCCTTGTTCCCTTGCAATACTTGGGGAATTCATGGGGCTGATTCAATCCGGAGGTCGGCATTTGGGATGCGCCATTTGGCTTGGAATGGATTCGGCACCCGGGAGGTCAATCCCTGTCTCTTGCTACATGGAGCACCACCACAATTGCGGGTCAAATAAAAGGGGGAAGAGTTGGAAGAAGCGGTTTGGAGGGGCAAAGCTAAGGTTACCCCAGTGGAACCTCCTTTTGGAGAATGGATCCTCCACTCTGGACCCTGGGGAACCCAACTTCGGAAGACGAAGGTACGCTTGAACCAGACGGGGCTCTATGCACCAGGTGGAGCTACAGGGTTTTATGATTTATGGAGGAAGGATTTGGGCCAGCTTGGGGCGGTTTGCAAGCCTTACCCAATTGTGGCAAAGTGGAGGTTGGTACCTTTGTTGGGGCGATCTTTTTAAGGGGAAACCAAGAGGAAAGCCACAATTTGTTGGAGACCCCTAAAAAGAGACACACTCAAATTGGTTTTAGATTGCAACTTTCTGTGAGCCCTTTACACCAATCAAGCGGGTGGGATGGGAATCCCGCTCCATCGCCCAAGGAGCTAAGTCCATTTGCCACAACCACGTGGTTGACGTTCTTGGTCTATTATTGGGCTTTGTTGGGCTACTCTTGGGCATTTGTGTTGTGTTTAGTGTTTTGTTTTTTGTTTTTTTGTTTTTTTTTTTCCGATACTCCTGGGTGTTTCTGTTTCGCCTGGGGTTTCTCTTCAGGCGAACGTTCTCAATAGAAATATCGCTCTCCTCGCTTTTTCCCCGAGGGATTTATCCCGGTGTGGCGCCGAGAGAAGTTCAGAAGAGTTCACGCTGGGTGCCTGAGCGGCCGTAGGAGTTTGTTCCGATTGGCCCAGGGATACCATTCCAAGTGAACTCATCCATTTTTACCAAAAAAAATATTGGACGAAATCTTGGTTGACCACATCTTCGTTACCCAAAAACGAGCCAAATGTAGCCGTGGAATCCTAGCATTGCCCCGCTGACGTTGTGCGACCAGCCAGGTCAAGTCCCCACAGCGCAGCGTTGCCAATGTTGGTTGAGGGGTATGTTCTTGCTGTGTTTCCGGAGGTGTTCGATGCATGTCTCAGAGGCCCAAGGTATGTTTTGGCCCCCAAACGTGCAAACATCACTGCGACATAATGTTCAAGATATGTTTGGAAGGCAACTGCGACATAATATTCAGGATATGTTTGGAAGGTAATTGTCGGGTTATGTTTCAAGGATGTGCCTTGGGCAATCCAGCCTGCCCAAACACATCCTTTGTAAAGCCAGCGTGCAAGCCTGGTGTTCACGGCGGTCAAGTTCAAGAACAAGCGATGCAAAAGCGCTTCGTTTGTCAGTGCGCGTAATCCCTGTGGAAGGGGCGTGATGAGTTAGGCTTGGCGCTGGTACAATATTTTGAGCCCTGAGTCGCAGAATGCGACCCACAAGTGTGCGAACAAGCGCAACCATGGGGATGAACTGCTGGCGGCTGGTGCTGAACAGCCGAAACCAGTAAGATGTCAGGGGACACAGTCCATGACGGGTGCGCGAGGGGGTTGGCAAACTGCTGCAAGTGCTGACAGTGGCTTGGAGGGCGCCGGGTCGGTCATTGGCTGCGCAGGTTTCATTCTTTTGGCAAGAACTGGCTTATCCATTCGGATCGGGCAGCCCCCTTTTTCTGCAGAGTGCAGGCCGTGGTGCGCCAGCTGTTCACCGTCTTCTTCGAGGACTTTCCCACGTTGCTGCAGGCGAGTTTGGACAACTTGGGATGGCCGCCTTTCAAACTCTGTCCCTGAGTGCCTGGACTTCATATTTTTGGAAAGACCGTTTTAGTGGCAAACAGACAGGTTGTTGTTTGGCCACTCCACTTGGGACGTGAGAACAGAATACGGATTACCGTTCCAACAAGACAGAACCTGCGCAGGGCTTGGAAGACCATTTTCCTTTTGACGGGGACTGTTCCGTGCTTGATTTTGGGACAGACAAAACGCTGGCTGGGAGGTTCAAAGAACTAAATGCTTATTTCGAAAATGCTACACTTGTCATAAAAGCATAAACTGCCTAGGCGTTTCGAGGGATTCCACTGATTCAGGCATTCGGGGGAAAGCGGTGGGATCCAAAAAGTAGGTCTTGCAAGTCTTGGACAAATCGATTCGCGGCAAGAATTATGGATAACTCAGTCACTCCCTGAGTTGGGCTTTAGTCCCTTTGGGAAGACCATGGGTGTGAAGTTTAGGCTCCTTGGCCCCAAGACACTCAAGTCGACACCTGTTGGTTTGGGGCTTCTAATTGTGACCCCGAAGTTCTCAGTTTCTCAGGAGGTTTTTACGACGCCAATGTTTCTCGGCATTTGGGATGTCCTCAAAACATGTTGCAGGTTGAAGGTTGATGTGTCCTTTGAGGGGTAGCTCACTTTTGGCCCAGGTCAAGCGAAGGAGGGCTGTGACAGGGGGGAAATAGGGAATCCTCTCGGAATAGACACATGCCCACTTTGAAGACTTGGGAGAGTGATGAATGCTTGATTGCTGTTTGTTCGGCCTTTCACCTTTGTTCTCTTTCAAAGAAAGGAGTTTCTCCACTACCAAGCAAGCTGCTCATGGCAGCCATGTTTGATGCCCTAGCTCTGTTGGGCCACATCGGGAAAAGCTCGCTTGGTTGAAGGTGGCCTTGTTCTTGACCCTTGTTAGGGTGTATCAAAGTGGCCCTGCCGGGCAGTGATAATTGGATGTGTCCTTTTGTAGGGGATCTGCTATGTTTGTGGTTTTCCGGGTGGTTTTCCTTTAAAACGACGAACTCGCAAGAACGGACACTCCCAAGTAATTTCCATGGCTCAAAGGGAAGCCACCCCCGAAGTGATTTTCGGCAGACAGCCTCACGATGGATTCGGCAACTTGCTGACAGTGCGACACTTGCCGGCGGATTCCTGAAGAAGCGGAAAACTAAAAAAAAAGAAAACGGCGCCCATCCGGCCACAAACAAAAGCAGACAAATGATAAATGGCGGTCTGAAGATGCCTTCAGAGAGACTGCTTGAGAATTCAGACTTCGAAATTCAAGGTCTTCTCAAAGCCCTTCAAAGTTGTTTGAGAGGTACACGGCACCACCACCACCACCCCAGAAAAAGTCAGAGCCACAGAACAAAAGTAATATTTTGCGGCCTTGTCACTACCGCTGACGCGCCAGTGTTCAAAGGGGACTCTCCAAATTGGCTTCAACCACAACGCATTTTAAGAAGAACTCAGCAAACGGTTACTTGAAGGACCCCAGGAAAGAAAACACACTCTGAAATCCGTGTCACAAACTCGAACACCTAAACTTAGCTCGAAGGGAACTCGCCAAATGATTTGAGACGGGCCCCAGGAATAAGTAATGCTCGAAGCCGTATGAAAGCCTCCAAAAGCCTAGTTCAAGTAATGCAATAGGAAACCCCCCCAATGCTTGCGTGAGCAAATTCGCCCACCAGGCGCTGAATGACGCTCGCATTCCGATAGCGTTGCGCGGCCCGCGTCCTCCTTTCTGCGGGGCCGTCCTGGCATTGGCTCCTGCAGTCAACGAGAACGCGCGTGAGTTGCGCAATATTTTACAGAGGCAAGCATTGCATCGCAGGTCAAGCACATAGCCCCTCAAACTCCGGGGTTCCGTCAAAGCGCTTAATATGAGAGGCTGAATCATGTCTAACGTTTCCCCCCTAGATCATAGTGATCTTACTTGGTGTTTAGGATACCCCACAACCATGTCTACATACGTGGGCCTCTAGGGTTTGATTCCCCCTTCTTCTTAATCGACCATTGTGGAAACCTCGCCGTTTCCAAGTATTTGACTCACCTCCTGAGTGCTTGGACTTGAGCCACTTTTTGGGAGGAAAACATCAGTGCTATTCACGGCTTTAAACGAAAGTTCAGATGATTCTGGCACTCGTTTGGGAGTGAGCCGAGGGTTTCCATGAAAGATGAACACTTGCTGGTTCTCAGGGAATGTGGGAATGAACCTAGCTAGGGATTACAGGAAACCACAAGTCGCATGGCTTAGTTCCGGGGCAAGAAAAAGAACTGAACCTCTTTGCGGGTAGGCTCCTGGCCTACCTGCGCCGGACCGCTCATTGATGCCCATCCTGGGGCCTTGCTCTTAGCCTGGGGCTGTTGGGGCCGGGGGGGGGTGGACCACGTTCCAGTCTCACCACACTTTGCGTATTTGAGGAATGTCCGAGGTAGCGTTGCAGTTTTCCAAAGGGAAACCCTCTTTCGAGACACCTTTGCGAGCAGGTTTTGGCGCAGTTTTCTTTCCCGGGAGCCGATTTGGCAACTGTTGCTTCTTATAACTAATATCCCTTTGTTTTTCTTCCAACGCCCCGGTGGTCAGCTCGAGCAGAAGGGGGGGGGGTGGCGGGAAAAAATGTTGCTTGGACGGAGTAGTTGGATTCAGGAGTTGCAAAACCTCGGCAAATGCTTGGACGGAGTAGTTGGATTCAGGAGTTGCAAAAACCTCGGCAAATGGGACAGACAAAGCCAGGGCCCCGTTTTAGAAGCATTTGGGAGAACCAACGTGAATCTACTTATTTGCAACGGGGGTGCAGTCTCGACATATCTCAAGTGGCGGACCAGGCTACATTGGTGCTCATGCCTATGAGCAGTGGCAAGAGGTTGGCCAGGGGAGGTTCAACGATTCACAGAGACGACCAAGTTCGCTCCACTGGCACACATCAACGTGACGGCTACGATCTCGGACGCCTATGAGACTGTGAAAGAATGCGTTTTCAAGTACATTTGGGCTTCCCAGCATCTAAAGTGCCAGATGGTAGCGGAAGACGTCTCAGCAGCTCAGCCTGCCGAGCCACAGGTAAAGCCTTGGGCGTCAGCCAAGATGAGCGACATGTGACGCCGACGAAGGGCATTGATTTTTTAGCTGAAAACCAGCTACTTTTGAACTGTTATTTTATTTGGTACTGAGTTATTAGAAGGTTCTGAGAAGCAGGGGTGACCTTGCAACGGTTGCCATGGCCTTCCTTTGTCATGATACATTGTGGAATGATCCGAATCAATGATCAGATGTTTGCTTTCATATTGTATCGCCAGTGTAAGACAGGACGGTTCCCCCTTTCTCCATGCCATCTCACCCTCCTTGTGCAAAGCTACGGAAGCGTGTCCTTGGTGTGAAAAGAGGCAACCTGGAGATTCATTCTTCTTGAATTTCCTGGTAGTTCTCGTCTTTAACTTGCTTGTTCCAAATCTAATTGTTTGTTTTTCGTGAAGTCGCCGAGAACTACAACAACTCATATGTTCGTGAGATTTCAGAATTGTTGTTTTTTGGCGATTTTCCCCGCCCGGAGTTACCCGCAAAACGCCCGCAAAACGCCCGCAAATCAAACAAAATACATTTTTGGGGTTTGGGGGTCGCTCAAAACGCTCAGAAACCATTTAGAACGGGGGTCGCGTCATGTAGCGGTCATCGGGTGCAAGACCCCTGCACCGGCCGTCCGTTGGCCAGTTGGCCCGCATCGCTTCCGCGTGCGAGGCTCGAAGTGAACGCAAACAACACCCAGGCTTGCGTGAGGGTGGGGCATAGAGCTGAGTGCGCACACGAGGAGGGAGGCTTTAGCACCTGAAGCCAATGTTGATTGAGCTCCCTAGTGAGGTGACATTCAGGATTGCCTGCGTTCATGTGTGTGTGTGTAGATATTAAACCAGATGGAGACTTCAAGAAGCATGTCCTATGACACATCCTCGTGTCAAAGACCTGCAAGGCCGTGCACCTTTGAACAAGTTGTTCACGCGTTGAGTTCAACACATGTCCTGGAATCATCACTTCCAGATGTCGGATTGCTTGGAAGCGTCTCCTTTTGGATGCCAATTTAATAGGCCCCCAAGAACTGATCGCAAAAGAACGCGTTATGAAAAGCTCGAATGCCACCATCGCAGGCCCACCCTTCGCCAACCCTGAATCAACACTTTGGACCACATGGTTCCGAAGCGAGCCTCGAAAACCACTGCAAGAGTAAGGCTGGGCGGAAATTTGGTGATGTTTGGCACCACGGGAGGAGGTTGAGCTTGATGCTGGCTGGAACTTGCAGCAACTGGAGACTAGGCAACAATGTCTAGAGCAACAATCGAAACGTGCATATATGAAGTGGTTGACATTCCCAGTCGACACCCCCACCATCCCATTTCAGCCATGGAGCCGAGCCCCAAGGATGCCAGACAAAGTATACATCTTTCCCCAGGCACCATTCAGATCTGGCCACTGGAATCTAGGCAACACTGGCCCAGAAGCACAATCATGAAGTGGTGCGTAGACGAATGCGACAATTCGAATGATATAGCCCGTAGACTGGTCGTCACCCCTTTGGGCCCCTAAGGATCTGATGTTTGATCTGGGGCTTTCAGACAAGCTGGGCCGAGTTGGTTTGGGAGTTAACAGGATGTTCCAATTCCCTATGCTTCAAAGAAGACATCTCTAAAGCGCGCAGTTGGATGTTTCCAGTTAGTAGGGGGCATCTAAACCTGATTGAGTTGCTTTTCACTTCCCTTTAGAAGCCAATTCTGAACAGCCAGTGTGGTTCCCTTGATCTTTGTGCTCCGCACCGTCTTTGCACCTGTCGGAATTTGCCTCCGGCCGTGGGAAAAACACAGAACTGATGAACAATATGTGCAGGTCGTTTGACGCGTTTTTATTGTGAGTGTGCCCTGTCTGAGGCTGTTTAAAAGGCAAAATCCAAAGGGAACATCAGCAGTTGGGTTCCACATGCTATGAGACACAAGAGCATCTCTTGAGGCGATGGCTTCGGCATTGAAGCAGGGAGCCTCAAGCCGCAAAGACACTCCACACTGAACTCGGGCGCATTGCCAGACTCAACTAACATGGCTATATGAGTGTCCGTAGAGTTGGACATGCAAAAGTGGTGGACATAACTCCCCACCTAAATGATGTCCCAAGGGTTTCGTCTTGAAATTCGTAGCCATAGAAGATGCAAGCACATACCGGGCATGATCCTGTTCGCACGGCTTCCTTGGGTTTCAAGACCCCACAACTCCGCCTTCGCGGTCGCATCTTGGGCCTTCATGGCCCCTTTTGGGTCTCACTTTGTGTCGTGGATGTGGATCCGTGAATGCTGGGTGTTGGTTTGGACCCAAGGCCAGTCCTCTTTTTTTAAATCGATCTTGGGACGTGTCAAGACTAGGACGCCTGTTTCAGAGTTGCTCACCCAAGACTTGAGAAGTAGAAGAACCAAAGGGTGTAGACGTTCAGCTTTCTATTGCCGACCCTCTTCGGGATCTTGGTGATTACCTCCAAAGGGGGTCGGAGCCCAAAGTGCACGCGCTATGTCAAACCCTCTGGAAATGGATCTCGGAAAAGGATAGAAAAGGGGCAATGGAGGATTCTCACCTGACAAAAACCGGAGGCAGACTCAAGAACGTTCTCGCAGAGGTTTGACCAACAACGCTGATTCTCACCGACGTAAAGTGCTAAATCAACTTGTTGGCAAGACCACTCAAACTCTCTGTTTTGAGGATACGATGGGCTTTGGGTAGGGGTTCCTTCGGCCGCCAAAGTTGCCAGCCACTCATTTTTGGTGTTCCCCTTGACAGCAGTTTGGTTGGCTCGCTCCCTGAGTTTCTGGACTTTCGTCACTTTTTGGGAAGACCAAATGTTGATAATAACAAACAGTTTTGATGTTTTTTGGGCCAGTCCACTGGGCCGGAAGTCAGTTGGATGCAATCCAAGTGAGTCCTGAGTCCCCAGATTCCGAGGGCTGGGCTGCGGCACGTGCACATCGTGCTGCCCAGCGGCCCCACCACTCGGGCACGGCGGCCTGAAACGCGGATGCCTTTCGTTGCGCCTTTGGATTGCGCCCCAACCCCGCGGTTTTAAGGCGGTGTCTACCAACTGGATTGCAAAATGGTCATCAAGGCCTATCGATCTTCAGAACCACACAACCGGATTCTTTTGTTTGGCTCTTTGCAGTGCCGTGTGTTGGTTTGCCTCGTCGTGCTCGTGTTTACTGGCTGAGTGAGTCGGCACCGTAATGCCTGAGCAGGTTGCCAAGAAGGGGCCGGGCTAGAGGGCAGAGCTGACGTTCCGGCCAAGTGACGCCCTGCCTCCATAGTCCAAGGGCAAACCAGCCGAGACCTCGTGAAGCCTGAAGAAGGAAAGCAGCCGCACTGCCGAAGGCCGCTAGAAGCTGGGAATTGCCTGCTTCGGCTAGTAGGAATTCGGACTGGGGCTGGGCTTCCAAGCCCAGACCGAAGAGCGGGGCCAGGGCCAAGTGCAAGTGAAGCTGGAGCTAAGTGAAACGCGGGGTGAAGCATAAGAACTGCTAACAGGCTGGGGGCTGAAGAGCGCACTTTGTTTGCAAGCCAGAGCTAGTGCAAGGGCAAGGGGCTGTGGCGGGCTCACTTGTCTTGGGTGGATCCCGCGTGGTGGGCTTCTTGATTTCCCGCGATGAACAAGCAAGAAACGGGGCCAAAGAAGCGAAAAGAAAAAACGCGTGGAATGGCTGCGTGTAGGGGTGTTACATGCGTCACACTCAATCATGTCAGTCCCTGGCAGTAGTTATGACGCGGCAGCCCTCCATAATTCAGAAGCTCGTCCAATGAAGAACTCCGACCGCCCAGGACCTTGAAAACAACCCCGGTTGACTGGTCCCGTTATTTGAACCGTTTCTGAGGCTATCAAAGTCAGAAACTAAGGACTTGTCACTTAAACCTTCTGACAGATTGCCAAACTCACGGGCCCAGCTTTTTGGTGGTCAGAACAACTCGAGAGGGACATGGTACATGGGAGAGGCTTGGTTCCAAATTTCACCAGCTCCAGGCGCCATGGTACAATGGTTAAATGAAACAGGGGGACCTCATGGTTTCCGGGGGATGGGGTGTTAACTGTCTTTGGATCATAGGCCAGAGTTGTCCCAGTAGATTGATAGCAAACATAAATTATTTCGCCGGCAAAAGTGTTGCGCCCCCGCGTCACCAGATCAGAGGTTAGAGTTTCGAAGGCGACCCCGTCAAGGCTTTGCTACGGGTCATATTCATGGAAAGTAAAGTTGCAGAATCAATCCGTTGGAATGTAGGAGTTGGTCACGGAATATGGGGCAACCGGTGTCCACACTGGTGGCATGTGTTTTTCTTGTCCACTTGCTCAGCATTTGCTCATGCATCTTAGGTTCAAAGCACGACGCTGTTTGAAAGTGAGTTTTGTTGGTTGCTCCAAACCTCAACAATGACCCAACCAAAATGGCAACATACCGATATGTTCCCTTTTACATGGGCGCAGCTTTCCCATGTGACGATCGAGTCGAAAACGGGCAACTCTGAAGGAAATTGGCACGAAGTTCGGAAAATACCCTACCATGGTTTTGTCCAGCCTATATATCTTGCAGAAGGTTTCTGAGAGAAAGTTGTAAAGGACAACTAGGTCCCCCAGTAGTGCCCTTTTACCGTTTCTTTTTTGGGGAGGGTTCCCCTAATTACTAAAATAGACTACAGAAAAAAAAAAGACCCTTATGCTAACCTCTCTACTGGAGGACCTAGACAACAAGAGACTGGACAACTGCTGCCGCTTTGGCAGTCGCTTCTCCGGTGGATCGGAGGCCTCAGACGGCAGCGCCTTTGTGCGGAAGATCTTGCCCCTGAAACTGGCCGGGAAGCCAAAGCTTCCACATGGCTGTGGGTCAAGACCCATGGGATGCCATTTTGGGGTAAGTGCACCACCCATTTTAGAACCTATTTTAGTGGGGATTGGGATGTTTACTGGGGGTAAGGGATTTTGCCCATGGCCAGATCCTCATAGGGGTCCCTACTCTTGGTAGCTGTAGACATCATCTTTTCGGCGGAAAATAAACCAGGGATCCTGCCAGCGGTGCCCCTTTTTCCCCCTTTTGCAGAGGGGTGTCCCTCTAAGCTTTGGGCCCAGTTAAAGGGGTGCAACAAACTAAAACAGCCATCAGCATATATATCGTGCAGTGGGCGTGCCTGGTTTGATCGGTTGTTGTCTCAAAGGAACCATATGGAACCAACTCGAAGTTCCCACACCAAACCGAGCTACCGCGTGTTCATGTTCAATGGTGTGTGGCCATCTCACGCCTTGAGCCCGAAGCGATCATTGCGAGGCGTGTTGTCACTGTTCCTTTTGTTTCTGGTAGTCTTTGTTCCATGTGGGAGGGACATTGGGGGACTCACCAAACATTCCACAAAAAACACAGGGGACTCACATCTTGTCCCATGTCATGTCCTGTAGGTCAACCACACATTTTGACTGCGGTACATGGTTCTCTTGGAAAACTTAAAGACCCCAGGCCCCTAAACATGAAATTGGGAGAGGGGGGTGACTCCCGGAACATCACTTGTACTTATAGTTTTGTTTTCCTGTTTGTGGGGAAGACTCGAACAAATCGGATTGGGTTAAGGTTGGGGGCATGCTTAAAGAGTCCCTAGTTCGTTTTGTTGGCCAAGCGAGCAAACATGCACATACTAGCTGACTCGTCCGCTAAAACTGGCCTTTGGTAGGAAAACAACCAACAAGTTGCTGTGAACCCAGGCTTGCAGTACTTAAAGTCAACAATCAACAACACAGGTGGCAATTGTTTCCCATGCCTCCCATGACTGGAAGTCTGGGCGTTTGGCAACCCCACATGCACTGACCCTCGTGGCCGTATGCTTGATTTGCGTTTAGCGATATACGCAATTGGCTGTGTCAAAGTGCCGCCAACATGTTGGGCACGGCTTCAAAGAAGCCAGAAGACCAACTTCCACAAAAGGAAACGTGTTGTTGTGTTGCTGAGCAAACAGGGCGTGACAAACACATCTGGATCAAACATCAGCTCTTGGCTGCCATGGTGGCGCGATGATGTAGGAAACAGCAAGTTGCAGAGGCGAGAGGCGAGCTCGGAACCCTGTCAACTGCCGGGGTTGGGGGGTTCCCAAGTTTTCGCAGTGGCACCCTCTTGCCTTTGGGTCCACTGGAAATGGGGTGGAAGCGTGTCTGTGTTTTTTTAGCGTGCCCTTTTGGGGTTGGCGTAAAGGAAATCCAAGTTGGATATCTCACCCGTTTTTCGGGGGGTGCCAACCGATTATGAGACCTATGGTGAACCCCAGGGTGTCGAAATCGATCACCGGGGTGCGTCAGGCGGAGGTGCTGAACAATTTGCAGCGCCAGCACTTGCACTACCTCCGCGAAGCCATGGCCCGGCCCTCTTTTCGGAATTTGAATGATGCCAATGTGAGCCTTCAGTAGGGGCTGTTTTTCACAAAGTAGGCCTATCGGGTTGCTTTGTATAACTGCGCCAGAATTCAACCCATGTGTTTCAACCTTCCCCCCTTCCATTTGCCATGTTAAGCCATTCAATTTGTTGGTTCCATGTCAAACCTGCAAAGAGGGCAGTTGCCGCCCCATGTTGAAGCTTCCTTTGAAGGGGTTCACCGTTCTAATTGGGGCTAGTGCTTTTGTGTGCTTCACCGTGAAATTTGGGCGGCCCAACCTTTGGCTGAATCAGGGATCCCGGATGTTTTACTGGCTGGTTTGGTACTGGAAGTGTTGGTTGGTGCTCAAATTGGCTCTCTTGAGGCCATGCTAGGGAATAGAGCAATCCAACAATGGGCTGCTCGGAACGCCTTCCTTTTGTCAAAGGCGGAGTAAGTAATGTCAAAATGGCCAACTTGCATTTGCCCAATTTACTTTGGGAATTATCAGGACTGGACATGCGTTACTTGCTGGTGGCACGTTTGCTGTTCGACCCGAGCAAGCATCATGAAGTGTCATGTCATTGAACCCCGTCTTTTTGAGGTGGTGAAGTATGATACTTCATTCAGAGGGCACGAACAGCATTGCATTCTTACATGACAGTGTCGGTTTATGATGCAGAGGCAGATGCTTCTTGGCTGGCTTTGCAGGGCGCAAAGAGATTCGCGCCCGACAAAGGATTTTCAGTTGGCACGACCAGCGGCCTAGCCCCAAACAGAGGCTGGGGGCAGCCCGTTTCAGCATGCCCATATGTGTGACTAAAACGATTAAAATCAAAATGTTTAGACTGTTGTGCGCTGCTTATGATTGTGAGAGGTGGGAGCTAACCCATTGTTCACGTGGCGAGGTGTTTGGAAGAGCTGATACCTCTAATCCGAGACTTGGCTCACTTCTGGGAAGGCTACTTAGGAGTCAAAACAGCCACACCCCACCAATGACTTGGTGGGTGCACTAGACCATGTTTGTTGCGAGCAGAGCCAAATCGTAACTACTTAGGCCTAAGAAAAGACACGCCGAAAAAGCCAGACTGACGCCCTCATTAGGTCATCACAGTGCGCACACCGCCACACCTCGTCTTTGTGCTGGCAGAGGCGCTGCTTTGCTTCTCGAATTCTGGGAGTTTCTCAGAATGGACTTTATTTTGCTTGGTATTGAAAGGGAAGCCAAAAGGAAACCATTTCCATTTTTGGGGAGCCTTATTTTGAGAAACACCCGGCTCTGACCAAGCGCCCTCGTGTGTTTAATCCCTAATGGATTCGTGGCAACTCCTCACTTGGACGGCAGCTGCCGGATCAACTCAAGAGTCATTGATTGTCTTCAGTCAGTGTCCGACTATGTCCAACTACTCAGTTGCACAAGCCGATCTTTTGACCTTTTTTTCCAGTTTTGGTCCATGTTTAGTCAAGGTACCAAAAGGTTAGCTCTTTAAAATTTATTTCCAGGTCCTTTGGGCAAGTCAAGCTAGACTTCAGTTTGAAGTCATTTCAATCGTCTTTCTTCAGTTGCCTCGTAAGAGGAATTCCCTTGGGTGGGTGGGGTGATGTTTTCAGGAAGGAGTTTTTAAATCTGAGAACAGTTAAGAAACCCTGCTGGCTTGCGATGTGCTTCTCGTCCGTGAGATTCGCAAAATGCGGCAAAGCCCTTTCTGGGTCCAAACGGGAGCACCTTAGACGGCAAGTCCCAAAATGACGTGGCGACCAACGTTTAGCGGAAGCAAGATCAGATCAAGAGGACCCCTGTTAAGTAAAAGCGCGTCCCAAATGAAACGACAACTAATTTGTGGCAAAAGGCGTCAAAGTTTGAAGGCATATTCAACCACATGTTGTTCGTTTCATGGTGGTGGCGAAAAGTAATTTCAGGATCCGCCCTTTGCAATTCCGGCTAGTCTGAAGCCGTGCCACGCTCCGAATGTCGCCGCGCAACTGCTCCGAATCAGGGCTGAGGGTTTTTTCTCACTTCTGCCATTCCACGGATCCTCCCCAGTTAATAAAGGATTGGTCTTTGGAAGGCCATTATCCATAGAGTCAGTTGCATTCCAGCCACAGATGTTGAATCCTGCGGACCCTGGGAAGATTTCCACCAGCACCTGGACGAAGTCCGAGATGGGGTTGCAACCCCACCAGCGCGTCATCAGTCAGCAACTGCTCCGGCTGGGCAGGTGCGGAAGACCTTGGCCACGGCGGGGTACACGGTGCCGGGGCACCCTGGAGCCGCGGGCTGGGCAGCATGGGAGTAACATCGGACCGTTGCTTCCTGGAAGCCGCAAGGAGGGACCGTTTGAAGAGTACTGTGGATGGACGAAATCCTGCACCACCTCAAGCTTCAGAAACCCTGCAATGTTTCGATTCCTCTGTAAATACCGGCAAACAATGATTTCGTTACACAGCGGTGCAGGATTTCGTCCATCCGCAGTAGTGGTCTAAACAGTCTAAACATATATTAGAAGGGCTTGGCCCGACACTGGCAGTGCAGACGCTCCTTTGTCCTTGTTCAACACCAACTATTTGGCGACCTCGCAGCGGTTTTTGGCGTGCAACCTTGATGGAAGGTTTGGTTTTTGGGGCCTGTATTTCAGGTTTTTTGGGCTCAAGCTCCGGCCCAAACGCCTACTAGCTGGCGGGGCGGTGCAAGCCGAGTTTGGGGTTCGCTTGCAATGGAGGTTGGAGCACAGGTTGACATGGTGGTGGACATCCTTATCAAAGGATCGGAGGTGGCTTGCACGGTCACCGACAACGGCCAGCGCGTTCAGGTGGCAGGGCCCCTGCCAGGAGGGCCTCGGGTATCACTGTTTGGGTACACGGTGGAGATGGTGAAGCCGCTATGCAGGTTGGAGTGGCCACTGCCACGAGCATTCGCAATGTGGTGGAAGTTTGCACGGGCATCGGAGCACTTGGCCAAGGAGCCGAAGCTGCAGGTTTTGTGGTCACGGTGCAAAATGAGTTATCGCCAGCGATGATTTCCATTTTGGAGCGCAACACGCAGGCCAAGGTTGTGCCGGGTGATGTGTGCAGGCCCGAGGTTCGCAAATGCATTGGTCAAGGAGCGGGGGGACCAGCCCTTGTGTGTGCTGGCATATCATGCCAACCATACAGCAAACTGGGAGATGGTGCTGGAGGTGCTGACCAAAGAGCCCAAACCTTACCGGCCACGTTGCAGCTAGGTTGGATGATGCAGGCACCTGCCATAATCCTTGAATGCGTGGAGGGAGCTGGATGGGTACAGGACCAACTGCAGCAGTTTGTGAAGCGGACCGGATTTAGGCAAGTTCAAAAGGTCCTCCACTTGGATCGCGTTTGGTGTGCGCATAGAACCAGATGGTGGTGTGTTTTGCATCACCCACGGATGGGGAATGTGACCTTGCAAGACTTGCCGGAAATCCATAGTGCGCTCAGTGACGCCATTCCAAGCAGTGTCCCCATGACCGAGGAGGAGCAATGCCAACTGATGTTGACGGCATACGAACTGCGAAGGTTCGACGAGTTCGGGGGAGAGGCCGGCATTTTCAGGTATGTGGCCAAAGTGGACGGCAAAGCACCAACTTCCCTGCATAGCTGGGCCAATCAGTTGTATCCATGCAGATGCGGATGTCGGAAAGCAGCGTTTGCCGAGCAAAGGTTGTCGAGCAAGGGTCTGCACGCGTGGTTGTTCTGTGAAGGCTGGAAACAGCAGGAGTCGCAGCAAGTACCGCTCATCAGACACCCACATCCATCAGAGATTGCAGCGGTGAACGGTCTGGATCCATGCATGGATTGGGGCAAGGACATGAGGCTCGCGGTAGCGGCTGTAGGACAGTTGGCCTCGCCAATCCAGTCGCTGTGGGTAATGCTACCAATCAATCAGTGCATTGGTGAACTGTTGGGGGAGCCTGAAACCTTCTCCCACAGGGTACTGCACCAGTTCCTTGATACACATGTTGCCAAGTGCCGAGCAAGGTGGAACTACATTCCTGATGAGAATGCTCACCCGGGCAGTCAAGTGCACGCGCATGAGCCAACTCAAATTGGCAGCCTAGGTACAGGGTCACTAGCACCGACCGATGCAATCCCACGTGGCACTATGTCAGGGAAGGGCGCCACAAGCCCGCAGCCAGATGTGCATGATGCCGACATAGGTCCTGCCTCAATTGGTTCCAATCACCCAGTGTGCGGCATTACCACAGCAAGTGTAGTACCAACACCAACCAAACGGCTGCAAGTGCAGGTCTGCTATGCAGATGAGCCGCCTGTGAAGCTGGCAGCAACTGCTGGTGCTACTGTCGGCAATGTGTGCATAGCTGAATCTCGCCTTCTCAACCAAGTCATTTCGACTGAGGGAAATGCCAAGCAGCAGTTAGGTGATTGCCAGGCTGTTTCGTGTCGCCAAGATCCGAACTCCAAACGAACCAAGCTAAACGCGGCAACTCAAGTTCAGCAAATGTGGGCGGGGCAGGTGCATGCAGTTGACTGTGCGAGTGTTGCCGAGTTCGTGTCATGCCAGCCAGCGAAAGATTGGTCTGTGGGCCGATGATGAAATCATGTTCCATATGCATCATATCATCCAGCCTTGGAGTGATTGGCCAATTCATGTAATGGACCCCATCATCAGCACGGCAGCCATTTGCCATCATGACCAATGCACAGCATTTCCGCAATGGGAACAGGCAACTATCATCACAGTTGCGAATGTGTCCCAGCATTGGGTTCCGTTGGTCTTTGACCTTGGCAGTAGAATGTTGGTAGCTACGGTGGTTGAGCTTGACCAAGCTAGTCAGCGTTGTGTTGAGCTCTTGCAAAAGGCCCTGGCACAGGCGCTGAGAAAACCAGTCAAGGGAACCACAGGAGAGTGCCGGAGCCCGCCGAAGCATGGCCACTGCGGTTTTGAGGCAATCATGTTCTTGCTTAGGAGCATTGCAGGCCCGGAAGCGGCACGTGAATCCACTCCAGCCGGATTGAAAGCCATGTTTCGCCAAGTAGTCGCGCACCAAGGAGTTGCTTGTGTGCCATACCACCTTGCGGCAGGCAGGGCCCAGCAACGTGAGCAGGACGCCGTGGCAGACCAACTGCGCCAAACACTCAAGGACCATGGAGTCTTTGAGGACCGCATCAGTGAGCGCACCCAAGTAGTCATCACTGCCCTGGGGTTTGAAAAGGTCAAGGCCATTATGAGGGCGGCAAACCAATGGAACGCCCTCAAGCAAGCAGCCAACGAGCACAGACCAAAAGTGCAACTGGTGTGCGAGGATGAGTTGCAGAATCAAATCGCACAACGAGCCGCCAGTGGACAGCCAGTGGGGCGCAGGAACCAGCGCATGCAGAAAGGGGCCAGTGCTGCACGGCCGATCATCGTCGTGCCAGGCTTGGTCCGCATCAAAGCAGATACATTTGTCAAGGAGAATGGCAAATTCCTGCCCCAGATCCAAATGCACCAGTTAGGTCCCCAAGCTGAGGGCGTTGTTGTTGCTAGTCTTGAACAGGCCCAACCATACCTGCAGGCAGGGAAAGCTGTCTCCACGGGAGCACTGGGCCTTCTGGTTATGGGCACAGATGAGCACATGAGTGATCTGCCAGTGCAGTCAATCCGCTTTCCCGCAGTGTGTGATGAAGGGCAGGACCCCACGCTTCTCACGGCCTCGTTACTTGGCAAGGAAACAGTTGAGAAGCATGTCCCGGAGAATCGGCCAAGCGTTGATGCTGTCCCGGCAGCCACCATGCGAGTTGCAGTCTATCGTGATGAATGTACCGTGCCATGGGAGGAATTTTGCGCTAAGCCCATCAAAGCACTAGTGCAGCTGGTCCCTCTCCTCCAGTTGTGCAGGTCCACCGCGTGTGAGTGCAAAGGCTGGCACGACACGGCCAAGTTAGGGGTACATGATGTTATCATGGACATTTGGAGACGCCAATTCTCCAAGATGGGATTCCAGCAGAGTGCCCCGCACCAAGCTGCCATCTACACAGTGTTCATGAGAGTGCCTGCCACATTGGCAGTGGAGTTGCAGCAGTACTCGGGTAAAGATGGGGTTTACATTGAACCCCGGTCGGCCAGTGGACAAGGGCCCGACCCAGCGTTTAGCGTTGTCTGGTTGCCCAAAGCCGGACTTGCTGAAACCAGAATGCAGATGCAGACACACGCACAAGCAATCGGCGTTGCTCGCCTGAACACCAGGTATGGCATTCGTGTGGCAGTGGCACAAGCTGAGCAGTTGCACCAGCAGTTGAAACCGGACACACCCTATCTCCGGTCTGGCGCCCGCTCCTTCTTTGAGATGGGTCCACTGCCATATGGAACCCAGCGGGCAGGGCTAGCAAAGGTGTTGAAGTCCATACAGTGGAGTGCAGCGCCATTGCAACCGTGCGGTTCCGACCATGACAATGCAGGGGTCAAGTGGATGGTGCAAGCCACGGAAGGGCCCCCCAAGAATGTCATTCACCTTGCCCATGGGGAAGTGCTCATTGTGCCGGTCACCAAAGTCAAACCAACAGGGGCACCGCCGGCAGGGGGGAGAGCTGGAGTGGATCCGCTCATCGCCAATGATCCATGTGGGCGCAAGCCCTTTCCAGGCAACTCCACACACCGAAGTCTTTGCGAAGTTTGAGGCTCGCATCTTGGAACAAGTTGATAAGAGGGTCCAGGCAATTGCGAACGTGCCTGCCCAGTTGACTGACCTGGACAATCATGTGAAAGGGCTTGCTGCCAACCAGCACCAGATGGAACACTGGGTCAAAGAAACGGTCACCCAGCAACAGACCCAGATACAGCAAGTGAAGCAGACAGTGAGTGACCAGCAGAACCAACTTCAGAGCATGTTTGACACGCAGATGTCAAGACTGGAGGAGCTGCTGGCCAAGAGGGCGAGACATGAGTGACAGCCAGGGCAAGGGCATCCAGCCCAGCAGGATGCTCAGAGCCATCAAGGGAAGGGCCTCCAGCACGGGGTTCCGGCTCTGGCAGTGGCCATTTTGGTGGGTCCTTTTGTGTTGTGTGATCAGGTATGGGGAGGCGCGCCACCCTGGCCCCGACCACGATGATACTTGGGCCCTGGGGATCGCCAATCCAACAGGATTGGCTGGCAAGCTAGGCGTTTTCCAGGATGCGCCTCGTTGCATTTGGTGAGACACACCTTACCCAATGGGGTGTGACGCAGATCCGTAAAGGGATGAGTGCCCAGCCAGCAGGGTACAATCAGTTTCACACAGGGGCACCACGCCCGTGTCGGGCCAGATCACAGGTTGCGGGGATGTATGCAGGGGTCGCCGTCAT